GCCTTTTATCCCCGAAGGGGTAGGCAGAGGTGTACATTATGCCACTGTACAATGTAACACCCACTTTTCACTATTTATGTTATGAGTCCCATGTAATAGGGGGTGAGCCTATTGCCATATACCGGGCACAATTCCAGACTCCGTGCTACTACTGAGAATTTATAAAAACCCAGTAGTACTTTGCCCGACCCGGGAATTGAACCCGAGACCGGCAGTCGCACTTGCGACCACTCGGCAAACGAGGCAGTCTCTCTCTCAAATTTTGAAATAAGTGTTGTAAAATGGCTGCAAGTATACAAAGATAAAAAGTATAATTTCTATGAACTCACCTTAATCACACCGGAGTTAGTACCGACAAGAACGTAATCCGTAAGAAAGCACACAGCTGTGATCTTTTCTTTGACATCAATAGTTGAGTGCTTGATTTCATCTACGTTTTGTTCATGTCTATAAATAAGACGCATAATTAATACATAATTTAGAAATACCATTTTCACTGCCATTATTAACGTTTAAGAATTTAATACGTTGATATATCGCACCGAAAATCCTCGAAATTTGTTCATACAAAAGTAGTTTTTAAACATCGGAAATAAGGTTTATAATGGAGTTAGTAGAGAGCGGTCACAAGAGACCACCAGAAGATTGAACAGTAAGTGTGGGAGGATCACGCTTCAGTACGAATGGGTCAGTTCGACCGGAGTGATACTACGGCGTCATAGAAAACAAGCGTGAAAAAAATGGTTGCGTCACGCGTGTGTGTGTATGTGTATGTGTAAAATTACCGGAGCCACAATTGCATCTATTCCCAAATAATCTAGTTACAATGTTATGTGTAATGCTACTTGAATTCATATAGCGTAACGTCAGACGTTTGCTTATGACATTGAATAGTTATTATATTACAAGATTAGAGATTATTGTAGACTTGTAATGGGTCATTAAACATAGTTTAGACTAGTAAGTCATTTTAACTATTATTTAGGATTATGATTATGAGTCAATAGTCGATTTCGCGGTACTATAGAGCATTATTTATTTGCCTCTTGGCTTATAAACAGTTCATAATAAACTAAAGTCAATGACTAATGGATCTGTGAATAAAATTGTATAATACACTAATTTAGAGCCGGTTAATGCATAGCGACACGATTATTTAATAAGGATAAAATGCCTAATAGTATTATTGATCAAGGAAAACTTACGAAAACAAACGCGCAATTAGAAGTGAGAACGTAGAAAGCTAAAGGTCACAAGTCCATAGTGCGAGCGCGTTCGAATTTATATCCTTATGAAGTAAAATAATCAAGTGTGGGAGAGCAATGCCTCGGCACGAATGGGACGGCTCGACTGGAGTGATACCACGGCCTCACAGAAGACCGACGTAAAGCAACGCGTGCGTTGTGTTTCGTCGTGTGAGTGAGGTTACCGGAGGACTAATTACCCTCCCCTTCCCCAATCTCCCCAATTCCTGAATCCCCAACGATCCTCAAACCCCTAATCCCCAAAAGGCCACTAACGCACTTGTAACGCCTCTGGTGTTCCAGGTGTCCATGGGCGACGCCGATTGCTTACCATCAGGTGATCCGTCTGCTCGTTTACCGGCTTATGCCATAAAAAAATCGAAGAAAACCAATAGATAAAGATATAAAAACTTATCTTGAAAGTAAAGTCGCATAATCAGTAAGAACTTTTAGCCAAGAATCAAGCAAATGAATTTGAATGTGCACTGCAAAAAATAGGAACTTAACGAATAAAAAGCAAACAAAAACATATTGAAAAGAAATACTTACAGAAAATCAAAATACAGCTCATTATTATTGCAATTTTCTTGGGCAATTTGCGATGCTTTCGAGTACAGTATGCCTTTAGACTCGTTTTGTAGGATACTTTGGATAATATCAGTGCAGGGATAATGGAATAGGTCATTCCCATGTGTGCTGAGGAAAGCTTTAGTGTTGCTAATCAGTTCCTTGTCTAGCTCCTAAGAAAACAAAGCATGATTAGCGATAAATATATCAAACTAAAAATAGCTAATAGACCTGTGTAGTACACACGCTAAATTAAACCTTATTTATGGAGTCAAATAAGAGCAAATTCAGTGTTTTTTATTGACAAATAAGAGCTAATTTCGCGTGTTAACTTTGTTTTTAAATGAATGAAAAGCCAAACTATTGGAAGCTGGAATAATAAAGTTTAGTTCTATACAGTAGCCATATAAATAATAACAATATGAAGAGATTTTGAACTATGGAAAAAATGTGCTAATTCGAATAATGTCCTATAACACACTAAAACATTGATAATTATGAAATTACTTAATTAGTCTCAAATTCATTACTAAATAAGGAAGTTCGGTGCTGTTTGCGGTTTCGTATTTGTATATTTGTATTGCACAATCAACTATAAAGTTACGAGCTAATGGGAAGAGGATGAGAATGACAACATGGACAAAATGACGTTGTAATGAAACGTCACTGCGTGTGACTATTTATTTGCATGCTAGGCTAGCATAAGGATAACTTTGGTATTGAATACAAATAACATATGTAATTTGCATGAGAAATGTTTATATTAGCAATGGATATATACGGAATACTGAAACGTTACTCAATTTTAAGTCGTGCTTAAACATCGTGCCATCTCTGTCATTTTACAAAGAATTTGTAGAGACAGAACTATACTTAAGCATGACTTAAAATTGAGTAACGTTTCAGTATTCGGGCATAAGATATTTAAATTTATTTTACAAAACAATATAATCACGGCTTTATCCTCCAAGGGGTAGGCAGAGGAGCATATTAAGGAAGGGAGAATAAAGGGCCTATTGACTTACACCGCGCAATTCCAGACTCTCTTCTCTTACTGAGAATTTCTTAAAAAAACACAGTAATATTTTGCCCGACCCGGGAACCGAACTCTAGACCCTTGGCCGGTAGTCGCACTTGCGACCACTCGGCCAATGAGGCAGTAGATTCAATTTACAAGCTTATAAAATGTAATGCTGTAATGTAGGCTTTTCAATATAATGTTATTACTATAATGAATGATTGACATTGAAATTATTCTTGTTAGGGTAATAACAGGTGTGTTTACAGTAAAGTCCCTGTTCTCCAGTTTGTGTTTATTTTTAAGAATTGTTGTCAAACATTAGGATTACAAAATTTACTAAGGGCCGATTTTTCAAACAACATATTTCTTTAGAATAAAATTGACATTTGACAGTTTTTAGTATGGAAGAATTGTTAAATTTTCAAAGTTATTCCTCTGATAAAATTTAACTGGCGTTGGAAAAATCGGCCCTAAGTATCTTAATTAATATTTTTATTAATCAATGATTAATTTATATTATTATGACCAAAACCAAATGTAGATGTATTTCTTTCGCGTTTGTACTTGTTATTGTGATAAAAATTACATACAATCTGTGTCCTAAACTAATCAGTGTACCTACATTTAAAAAAACACAAACCAATACTCACGTATTTAACAATATATGACTCATAGTTTTGTAGGTCAGACATCACATCGGCAGGTCCCGTTAACCTCACTTTGTTGCCTAAAAACTTCAAATTCAGGAACAATTTGTTGAACAACGTCCACATATCGTTGTAATTATCCGTGTGTTTGATATGGTAACCAATATAAAAGGCGATGTAACCATCATCAATGATTTCTAGCGGTGGGTTTGTAGTATTATAGTGATAACTATTTAGGAACTCAGCATGTAGCTTCTTGCTATCGTCTTCCCCTGAACTCCTCAAGTACTTCATGATAAGGTCATGGATCTCATACATGTAATTTCTCTGATCTCTGTCATACACTTCGATGATAAGAGATTTACTACGCAACTCTTTCATGATGGATTCCACTTGTGAGTCCTCTCTGTTCCACAATTTGCTCAATACTTTGGCAGAAATTTTTACGTTGTCAGGCAGGATTTTTAGTTTTTTGAACAATGGTAACACATTCTGGTTTAAAGAGTTGATGCATACTTCGATTGTTTTCATCGGATTGTAAGTTTGATTGATTGGAATGCTGAAATATTAAAATATTATTATTTTCCTATTAAACTTATTTATATTGAAGATCGCGGTTGAAGGGGATTTTGTGAATCTAATATTTCTTAATAGCCGCGAAGAAGGGACTTCCCATCTGTACTAACTTCTGGTACAGACTTATTATAATTCGATATAATCTGCATATTATCAAATATCTATAACATAAATGATAGAACACGACTTAAAATCAATGTAGACGATCAACTTAGCCATTAGTCATAAATAATCTTGTAAATATACTTACAATGAAAAGTGATTCTTCTTTTTCAATTCCTTGACGTAGTAATTCCATCTTTTTGGGTCATCAATCAGCCTTTCCCTGTTTTCTGCTAGTTGTGCTCCAATGAGGCCAATGTTAAAAGGGCTGCCTTTACAAAGCTCATGGATTTTCTTCGCTTGCCAAGGTAACTTCGATACAGGTACTTCAAGCGACAGAGCGAAGATTTCCAACGATTCCTTTTCTTCTAAGCTGTTTTCTATCTGGAAATGAGTAACAATTTAAATTATCCAAATAAATTTTTTGTATACCTAAGACAAATGCTAGAATTTGGTGAGATATGGGTGTAGCTATGAAGAGGTCCTAAAAACGATGATGCAATTAAATGTACTTTCTTACATCGTCACTAACGCATTCATGACGTCATTGGTGTCGCAGATACTTAAACTACTTTGACCGTTTACCATCAATGGCGCTGTAAATTATGTTGCTAATGATAAATTTAAACTAACTAGAGTTTTTCTCCAATACTTCACGTGCGTAAACAGAGCCCTTAGTGTGAGTTTATTTTACGTATCAAGTAACCGAAACGAGACCACGTCCGGCGCTGTGATTGGTCGGTTCATTGGCGCCCGCCAATCAGAGCGTCGAACGCATTCTAGTTTCGATTACTTTATATGTAAAACATACTCGTATTAAGGCCTCCATTTTCAATTAGCTGACAAAAATTGTGTAGCTTTACAAGTCTAGTTTAAAACTACATAGTAACTAAGTGTGATTGAAGTCATCCAGGGAAAAAATATATGAATAAATAGTTAATTTTGATGACGATAACAGAATTTACCGATTGAATTATTGTAATGAGTATGACCACGTCAAATTATTAAAGTGAATGATTGAACGTAGACTTTTTGTTACAATGCGTGGGGTAACAAGACTGATGTAAGCCATCGATTTAACCTTGCCTAATTTTGGGTATAAAGAACCTTTAATACAAGTAAATATGGTTCTAATTAGATTGCATTTTTTCGACACTTCTTTAGTTACGTAACGCAAAATTGTTGTCAAGCGGTAAAGATGACGTCAGTTATTTCATTTAACAATTAATTTCATTAGACATTAAATTATTCTGTTAATTAGTTAATGTTTTTGGCTAATATCCACATAAAATCACAACAGATATCATTAGAATTTGGCCTCTATTACTTTTAACTCAAAGTATTAAATTCAGTTTTCATATCACTATACAAATACGTAAGAGATGACAATGAGATAATCTGCATTAAGTACCTACATTACCAAAATATATTTGCATTACTAAAGTCATCAATATCATAATTGTACGCTCATTTAATAACGAGACAGGTAGAAATAAATCACGTAATGCTGAATTTAATTTAAATACCGAAAATGGACGCATTAGTACAAATTCGAAAGTTGCCCAGGAATTTGAAAATTTCTTTAAAAATATACCGCTTAAAACTACAGAAGCGTTGAAATCATCTCCAACTCTTTCAGTGGAGCTTCTTAAAAGTAATGTTAAAGAATGCCCTTCTGTTTTTCGGTTTCAGTACACAAACCCCCAAGCAGTCATTAAAGCGTTTAAAGATATCAAAGTTAAGTCGACTGAAGATCTCTGGGGAATGTCGGTTAGGGTGTGTAGGGCTTTTATAGAGACTATAGCGCCTCATTTAGCTTTCATTTTTAATAAAAGCATAGATCAAGGGGTTTTTCCGGATTTGATGAAGCACAGTAAAGTAGTTCCATTGTTTAAATCCGGTGATAGCGCGGAACCTAATAACTATAGGCCGGTTTCTATTTTGCCAGTGCTTAGTAAAGTGTTTGAGAGACTGATGCTTGTTCAGATGCTGCGCCACTTTAACACGAATTCTATCTTTCATGATCAACAATACGGGTTCACCAGGGGACGCTGCACTACTGACGCAGGAGTAGCTTTGATAAAACGTGTTGTTGCCTCATGGGAAGAAGCACAGGATGCAATTGGAATATTCTGTGATCTTTCGAAGGCATTTGACTGTGTTGAGCACGAAACGCTTTTGCTGAAGCTGGAACACTACGGCATTAGAGGGGTATCGCTAAATCTATTAAAGTCATACCTTCGGGATAGGCAACTTAAGGTGCAAGTAAATAAGGTAAACTCACAGGGTGCTAGCATATCTATGGGTGTACCGCAGGGCTCAATACTAGGCCCTTTCCTATTTTTGGCTTATATAAATGACTTGCCGCATTTATTCCGGAATGAACCACAGATGGTATTATTTGCTGATGACACATCACTGGTTTTTAAAATAAATAGACGTACAAATAATTACGACGATGTAAATAGTGCTCTGATGAAGGTTCAAAACTGGTTTACAATAAATAATTTAGTGCTGAATGATAAAAAGACAAAATGCATTAGATTTGTTTTGCCAAACGTTAAAAATAACGAATGTGACATATTACTGAATAGTGAGAAATTGGAATTTGTAAAAGAGACTATTTTCCTGGGAATTACTGTAGACGACAAATTACAATGGGGTCCTCATATTACATCTCTAGCGGGACGATTAAGCTCTGCAGCTTATGCTGTCTGGAAAATCCGTCAGTTAACCGATATAGACACGGCAAGACTGGTGTACTTTAGTTACTTCCATAGCATCATGTCGTATGGCATTCTGCTGTGGGGACACGCTGCTGACATTGAGTCTATCTTTGTCTTGCAGAAGCGCGCCGTCAGAGCTATATACAACCTAGGTCGTCGCGAATCTCTCAGAGAAAGGTTTAGGGAGATCAATATTATGACCGTTCCATGTCAATTTATTTATGAAAATATTATGTATGTTAGGAAAAACCTACATTTATTTAGTAAAGTGTCTGACAGACACAATTATGAAACTAGACATAAGAATAGATTAAGTCCGCCGTTTTTTAGATTGTCAAAAGTACATAAGTCGTTCATGGGAATAGGTGTTAAATGTTATAACAAAATCCCCCAAGAAATACTGCATCTAAATGAAAGAAAATTTAAACTATGTATTAAAAAAACGTTATGTACACAAGCATACTACAAACTAAATGATTATATAGAGGATAAAAGTGCTTGGAGGCAGGCTGGTCCGGCTCCGCAGGATAATACATGAAACACAGTGATGTTCAATGAATTCTATTTGTGTAATAATATAATCATGTTGCTTAAATATTTGTATAGTTTAAAACGTTGCACAATTTATTGTAAATGTGAGAGCCCTGTAATTAACTAAATCAAATTAGACTAGTAGATTGCATTTATGTCAGCTTGGAGTTGTCATGCTCACTCAAAGATCTCGTTGGCGGTGGCACGTGCATTGGATCGCTCGATTCCCTACAAAATGGTTGAGTTGGGCGGTGCTAGGTTTCGCCAAATGTTCGTGAACGGGCACCGTCGATTGGAACTGGTCAGCTCCAGACTGTATCATTTTATTTTATTATCCTCAAGGTTATTTTCTTTTTCAGTCTTTCTGACTGGATTTGGGTGTTGCATTGTTCTCACATAATCGAACCAATAAAACTATGTAACTAGAGAATTGTATTGTAAACCTGATTGAAAAAGAGTAACCTATGGAGTTTCTTGCTCGTTCTTCTCCATAGGAATCTACGCCTTGGAATGAGCAACTAGCTTCACTTATAAATTTTTGTTGTTTGACGTTCAAAAGTGCCATCCTGGTCTAATTGAAATAAATGATTTTGACTTTGACTTTGACTTTGACATAGAATAATTGTAGGTACATATTACAACAGAGGACTAAAATAGGTAAAGGAAAAAATGCGACTCTTTAAACATATTATCTATTTATCATTAAACATAGCATCAGTAAAGTATTATTATGTTTAAAAAAATTCTCAGTAGTAGCACAGAATCTAGAATTGTGCCCCGTTTATGGCAATAAGCTCCTTATTACATGCGACTGATAACATAAATTGTGAAAAGTGGGTATTACATGGTAGTGGCATTAAGTGCCGTAATGTGCACTTCTGCCTATCCCCTCGGAGATAAAAGACGTGATGTTATGATATGTTAAACATAGCATACATATTATAATTGAGAGTACGGTGTCTTCACCGTACTCTCAATGCCAAGCCCATAGGCTACGTTTCATCTTGAAAAAAATAAAGGCACACGAGGAAAGCTGCGGGCGGAAAACTACTTATAATTAAAGTAGACATCTTCCTTTTCCCATATAGATATTGATGTGCGTATGATAGATAGTAAATCACTACATTATCGATACATTAAAATTATAATGGATAAACATAATAGGGAAGATAAACGGCAATTATAAACATTATAGACGCATCACACATTTTGTTTATCATGCAAAGATCTATTTTGTATTAAGTAATCGTATAGAGTAGGTACGATTATAAATGTTGCACGCTATATTGGTTAATAGGATTAATGTTCTGTTCACATTATAGATTTTTTACGTTTAGGGCTCGTACACAAAACTGGGATACGAATTGCTGCGATGTGATTTCGTGCGACAAGGAGTCTCTCAGGGTGACCATTTCTTCGACGACCGTCAACCGTACTAAACGTATTTTAAATTGAAAACTAGGTCGTGACAGGGATCGTAAAAAGAAGTGTGCACTTTTGTTATTGCTTAGGAGATACAGGGAAAAGAAACAATGAAGATTTTGGGAAGATAAGAGATGCGCGATGCGAATAAATTCGCAAGTTCTTGTGATGCGTAGAGGGATGCTCGTACATTTTTGAGATGCGACGTCGCATCGCAGTTTTGTATACGAGCCCTTAGGTTACATCGTTATAAAATTAACCTACGTAGGTCCTAATGGATAAAGTTTTATTATGTACCTAGCTATTCCCACATGGCTACACCACCCATTCGACTCGTTTTTTATACCCTATGTCACTTCTCCATCCCTTCAACTACCTCTACTTAAAAAAACACATCAATTCAACATCGTGAAAGAGAGACAAAGAAACAGATATACGCATTTTCTCATTTATAATATTAAGCATGGAAGTACGGATTATGTGTGACGTGTGATTATCTTGCTGTATCCACGATATCAAAATGAAAACTAAACATAATAGAATGATCTAATCCGGGTCATGCTCTATACTCATACACATGCTCAATTTCATCTTAATCAGTGTAGCAGTTTCTGTGAATATGAGTAACACATTCAAACATAATTTAGTTAGATTTAATAATAAAGTGTTTTTTTTTTTAAGGGGGAAAATCATCGAATGAGTGCTCCCGCCTCACCCAGGCGGGAGCACTCATTCGATGTGTCAGACTCTTACTGACTAAAAACCACCCCGTTCCTTCTCCTGCACGTCGAGCCGGAGCCCCGGTAACCCGTTAGGTTCTCCACGACATAATAAAGTGTTTAATACTTACTTTGATAATCTGTGCTGAACAGGAAGCGACAACGCTAGTATCTCTTGTTGTGACCAAAATTTTGCATCCGATGTCGAACGCTTCTAAGCACTTTTTGTCATTGACTTCGTCTAGCACAAGGAGGCATTCTTTTAGAGGTAGTTCATAGAATTGTGCCTTTAGTTTGTCTCTAAGGTCGTTCATTGTCCAGTCGTAGTTAGAAGATGATTGACTGTCGCCATTTGAACCGATGCTAGACATAGAAACTGACGAGTTCATGTACGAATTCTGCGTGTACATCGACGATGCTTTTCTTAGTAATCTGTAAAGATAGAAAGTAATTACGTAACGTTATATAAAAAAGAATAGTGTTTTGATAAATGCTCCTATATTTTGACGGAGCCTTTTTGCACGTGTTTGTGTTCGCATATGAATACATGGCCATTACAATAACTCATGCCTTATCTTGCGTTGACTATATTAGTCAATTTGATTATAGTACTAGCAAATGAAAATGGTTTGCTTCTCTTTATATGGGAGCACTGACCATTTAGTGAAAACTAAAAAGATACTAATAAGTTTTGAATCAAATATAAATATTATCCAATATATATCAAGGAAAAACTATTATCCAATCGAAATGCGATCGGTAGTTACTATTCTAATATAATATCATTAAATTTTGTTGAATAGTTTTCGAGTCTGTTCGCGTTAATCTCAAAAAGTACTGCACGGATTTTAATGCAGTTTTCTCTACTGATTTTTCCAATAGGTTTGTTTATGGTAGGCAAAGGAAAAATGGATAGGAAATCTAACTAATACACATTTAAAATCATTAAGTAAATGTTATGTTTACTCACTTGCTTTGTTGGAAAATAATGTCATCATCAGTCTTACAGTTGCCGAAGTTCAACCAGAAGACAACGCTATTGAAGTTGCTGGCAACTAAATCAGGGTTGTCACGTAAAGCGCTGATGACCACACATGTCTTCCCTGAACCTGACATGCCGTGGAGCGCAAGGACTTTGTGCCGTTGCAACAATCTCAAGTTCTCTGCTACATTTTGTTCCTAATAAAAAAAATGCTAAATTAATATTTATTATTCGGTCTTAATTGTGCTTAGTGTTCGCAATCACACATCTAGGTAGAAATCAAACTGGTCAGATTGTAAAAAACATGTTTTTCATTATAATCTTATTAATTCTTCATTTATTCATGAATAAAATGATTCACCATTTCTCATGACAGAATTCCCACAATGCATAGGAACTGCACTGTTTTTAACTCTTCTCTCTCTTATTTAAGTATTGGACTTAAGTATTTTTTTAAAGGGCAAAAATTATCGAATGACTGCTTCCGCCTGGGTGAGGCGGGAGGGAGTGTCAGACTCTTACTGACTAAAAACCACCCCGTCCCTTCTCCTGCACGTCGAGCCAGAGCCCCGGTTAACCGTTAGGTTCTCCGCGACATTGGACTTAAGTATTGGAGGACTAATTTTACAAGAATTCGTTCGTCGATTGTTGTAGAATAGGATAAGACTTTAATGTAGTCTGTCTTGTCTTAGGTCTGGGTGTCATATTGTGTATGTTTGTAGACGCACCCACAATACAGGAGAAAATCTAGTGCAGGGCAACGTAATCTATATAAATAAAAATGAATTTCCGTTCGTTAGTCTCGCTAAAACTCGAGAACGGCTAAACTGATTTGGCTAATTTTGGTCTTGATAGGTTCGCGGAAGTCTAGGGAAGGTTTAAAAGGTGAGAAAAAACTTTTAGGCGGTACGAAGTTTGCCGGGTCAGCTAGTTACTAATATAAATAGTAACACCTGCTACTGACTAATAGATTAACAATTAAACAGGCAAAATACTGTAGGTAGTTGTTTTATTGCGAATTGATATATTTTGGTAGACAAAACAGTAGGCCGATTATTATTAAAAGGTATTATGCATCACACCAGGCCCCAGTTTGATGACCGAATGACGCTACATTTTTATTAGAAGTCGCTTGTCAATAAAAGTTCAATGAAACGATTATATTTAGCTCCAATGCTCATGATTTATTTTTAATTTATCATAGAATGAAACTGGGACTATCGAATAGACTCCGTAGTAAAATTATTCTGTCAATTAATTCTACACATCATTTATTATATATCACAATTGGGAACTATTGCCAACTAGTCAATATCAATCCTTTTTTCGAATTGTCAAAAACGACATTTATCTATGAATTTTGTACGAGATTCTGTATTGTGGCATCACGTTTTTAGCGTCAAACAGCATACTTATTACTTAAAATATTGCTGGAAAAATACTCAAATAAAGTTGGTCATAAAATCGATTAATGAAAGTGTGATTATTTTTTAATATTTTATTGTATTGAGCATTTGAAATAATTTATTTTTGTTTACAATTATGTGAATATGGTATCATTCAGAATCCAGAGTCTCTACTAACTATTAATGTACCAATATTGATTAAAATCTGTTTACTGGTTTGGGAGTGCATACTTATCAACATTCACTAATTATTTTATGGCCGAAATTAACAAGCGACGTCGATCCAAAATGTTTACATTAAAATCGATCTCATCGATGTCACTATGTGGAGTTTCTGTCAAAAACCGGGCTTGACGCAGATTGGTTATAAATTCGGCCATTAGAATATTATAGTTAGAAAAGATTAATATGATTTACTACACATTTAAACGAGTGATTAAAGTCTTCATAATCAGTGTTAGTAGACTAAAACAGTACCTATCTATACACGAAAGATCTATGTGAACAGGCCAAATACGTTGTCCTTCACTTCAATACAATCAAAGTCATTGATATAAGTCGTCTAAAACTGACGCCATGTTCGGGGCTGATTCACGAATTAACATTCATAATTCGACACGCTGTTAGATCTTGTGTATAGCTTCATTACAGTAAAATGTATTCTGTAAAATATCTTCATAAGTTTTGGTAATATTTTTTTTTAAGGGGCGAAAATCGTCGAATGACTGCTCCCGCCTGGGTGAGGCCAGAGGGAGTGTCAGACTCTTACTGACTAAAAACCATCCCGTTCCTTCTCCTGCACGTCGAGCCCGAGCCCCGGTAACCCGTTAGGTTCTCCGCGACTTGCTAAGTACTGTACAAGGCGCATCAGGCATCGTGTTATTTTTTTTATGAAATATGTTTACAAATGAACAAACGGATGGACACCCAGCATTCGAGGAGTTACAAGTACCTTGCCGATCTGTTGGGAATTTGGAGATTGCTGATTGGGAAATTGGAGATGGGGAGAAAGTAGGAGAGAATTGGGCCTTCGATAATCTTAATCGTACAACGAATCAGAACGTTTACCACAGCTTGCCGTTGTTGGACGCCGATTCTCCGAGGAAGTGCTAGCACTCAGAGTAATTTGCTCCCAGTCTTCCACGTTAATATAATAGTAAAGAATAGAACAGCAAAACGAATTGTAAATAGTTATTCTAGGTACATAAGACTATAAATAAAAAACATCAATTGACGCACGTACGAAAAAAACTCCTTGAAAATGTTTCACCTGATGTCCGCTATGTAGGTGTCAATGTGATTAGCAAAACATTAAAATAATATCTTTCAAATACTAATGTCTAGACTAATCTGTAACTATGTCATAATTATTTTTTGAAGAAATCATGAAGGAAATTATTCAAATTCCAGTTAATGCAAGCAGCTAGGTATGTATACGCTAGTAAGAGTATTTTGGCACTGTGACAAAAACGAAGGTAAAAGTTGTTCATAAAAACTAACAAAGCATCCCACATTAAAAAGCTACACAAAAACAACAAGTCTGGTCTGATTTTCATTTTTATTCCTCAAGAATTTTGTGAATTTAAATCAGAAATATAAATACCTAGGTCATTATTTTATCAGGAGTATCCAGTAACCATCACATCCTTCTATCAAGATACGGATTACAATACATACGACTATATGAGTAACACAGCTGTAAAAGATAACTTTACACTTCATATAGACACGCAAATCTAGTCTTTATAAGCCAGTAAATGAAACATAAACTTACTACGTCGAGATACACACAAACAAGATTCAAAATGGCATAAAAAGTTTGAATCACTTACCACTTTCGTTCTTCTGACATGGTTATCCGGTGGTCTAGGCACATCACCCCTGCTGAGGCTGTCCTCAAAGCTATCATCAGGCATCGGATTATTGTTCTCAATAGCCAATTTCTCCCAAAGCCACCCGTAATCCTTTTGCAGGCTGTCTACAAAAACTTGATATGTCCCGTTGGTACCATTGCGAATCAACGAGTCTAATAGAAACCGAGTTTGGTCGATGCGAGTCGTCTGTAAGAAACGTAAACATACAAAACATTGACCGGAGAATTTATTTAAGTATCGTCACGGCCACGACACGACCTTCTTCTACGGGAGATGTAAACTGACTGACTAATAACTATTTACTAATAACACAATTGGTGCATTATCAAAATGAAATAAACATTTATTTGCTAGTGCCAATAACTTTATTAGGTTTGTTATGTTTTTAGCACTAATTAATATCATACACTTACATAACGATTCAAAATATAACACAAAATATACTGACGAACGTAATTGGTTGGTACTTCTTTGACAAGACTTACATGGGTACAACTTCACGTAAATAATTTTCCTTATTGAATAAACCATAGGAAATTAGTAATTAGAAGAAATGCAAGTAGTAAATGATTCCTTCTTAATACTGAAAGTATTAGTAATTAGAGTTAGGTGTCTGACTTATTGCTAAAAATAAGATATGGGCATTTTATTTCATAAAAATGTGGCAGTTACTTACAAGACTGAACATGCGATCGACCTCTTCAGCTGAAATAACGTGCTTCGCAAACAGTTCATCGTAGACGTATGCCACATCTAGATCATCAATGATGTCCTGCTGATACTTCTGCAGCAGTAGCCTTTTGTGCTTGTCCATTTTTCTGGCTCACTACTCATCTAAAAGAACACACAAAATGAGAACTTAACCAACTAAACATAAGCTCTATAATTACACTTAACACACCTTGGAAACAAAAGAAAAACAAATGAATAAATAAATAAATAAAAGAAAATCAAAGACCGTATCTTCGTGTTATCTATGGCACTAGTATATGCATGTAAATTAAGTTTCACACTGAGAACAACCAATGACTTAAACATACGACCTTGCCAATAGACGCCACCTACATAACAAGACAAGTAAACAGGTAAGCACATATTTAAAAAATTCGAGAACATAATGTCGTTGACCGTACTATGATTGCTCGATTGCCAAGGCCAGATGGAAAACTGTAGTACTAAGTACGATTACATAAACTGAAGAACCAATGATGCGGAAAGTATGTACAAATAGGTGACTTAACGCGAATTCTCATCAAATCTTCTATCTAAAACCTTGGCCAGCGCAAACTAGTCGAAATGTTAACTAAACATACCTAATTATTATTATAAAAGTTCCGTAATCGACACAAAGTTACAAAAATACAACGTGATAAGTAGTTTACTTAGAATAATACGAAAACACGTACGAACTCGTACTTCAAGTTATTGTCTCGTAACCTGAGGATTTAAAGACCATAAAGCCCAACTATTATTGCCATCGGCAAAAAAAATAAAGCTGTTAATTTTTGGGCATGGGCCGTTCGGCCCATGAGTAGGTAATTAAATCTAGTGACGCATAGCGAGTTATCTCCAATAACGTTTAACAATTGTAATTTAAGTACGAATAAGTTATTGTTTAAGTTTGAATCAAATTTCATAAAAAGCGATAGGTGAACAACCTTAGCTTATCTCTGACAGCACTTTTTCTTTAGCCAGATATGTCTATTATTTATAACAAATTCGTCAAAATGACTCATTCATCAACATAATTATTTCATTATAAATTAAAACAGGTTTAATGTAATATTTGTCTCAATTTCTAAGGATTTTTATTTTTAAAATTGGTCAAGTTTTTGCGATAAAGATACAGTCGTATCGTTCGGAAACAAAATTGAACCTGGAATCGGGTACATCACCATTGTCAAGTTCATTAAGCTTCTAAAATTAGTACATGACGGCCACAAGAGAAATTACATTTCGAAGAGATATTTTCGGATAAGAGTTATTTTCTTCAAGGAAAATTAAAACACAGAAAGTTGTGTTCGTAAAACAAGAAAACAGGAAAACAGAGCTGAAATTCTGATTTTCACAAAATCTACAGAGAGTTATTCAGAAAGTGTGAAATTATAATATGTAATCTAATAATAACGATGAATCATCGTACTGTAAATGTCATTGACCGATAGTAAGCTGCCTACTGTGTGTAATAAATAACAATCATATAGAATTACAATTTCAATTCGAATAAGTATTATCAAATCGCCGATATTGATAGGCAGGTTTCTTCGCGTAACCTTGTTTAACCTATCTTTTACAAATCGTGGCATTTGTTAACAAGATCTTAGTCATAAGTACGCTTCATCTAACGGGACTACCAGTGCAGGGTTTTATAATGCGCAGTTGAAGCTATGCAATTTTGGCAGGCATGTGTATTAATTAATATAAACGAATTTTCCTTAAACCAGATTTTACGACAGTATTAATTTGTCGTTTGTAAATACGCGGCGCGAAGGACCAATCAAGAAATGTAGCACAGTTTTTATAAGTTTACGTTACTTCAATTGGCGTAACTATAAGTTGACGTGTTTTTCATATGAAATATGTCTAAGTCGAAATATTTATCAGTTAACAGGAGCTTATTCGAACAGAGGTTGTTAGTGCCACGAAGACGAAATGCATATTTTACAAAATTAATATTCTGATCATCATATAGCATCTATCTATATCTATATATATATAAAAATGAAACCCGTTTCCCGTTGTCACGTCATAACTTGAGAACGGCTAGACCGATTTGGCTGTTTTTTTTTTGTTGTGTTTGTTATTGTCAGGAGAAGGTTCTTATGGCAGAAAAAGTTTCTGAAAATCCTACGGGAACGGGAGAAAACGGGATTGCGCGTACGAAGTCGCAGGCAAAAGCTAGGAGGTAAAATGATTGTTGTATTAAAAAGTCATTTAAGCATTATTACTAAGGGTATTGCATCACCTATCAGGGTCAAAGTCATGGTTTGACGAGTCCACAAATAATACAGGTGCGTATTGGAAGCTTTTAAATATAGGTATTCGAAGTTGATAGATCAACTGTTTTGTTTGAAAGAAAGAAAGATATGAAGGGTTTCGATGATTAATCAACGTTAAGGTTTCTGTGGTCGGAAATGGGGATTCATAACTCCGTCATAATTATGTGCATTGTGAGCAAAAGCACGTCGCTATCATGTCCTCGCTTGGTTCCAATGACAGTTTTGTCATTTTGTGCGTATGACGCAGGTAAATCAGTCATTAGTCATTAATTTTGTACATTGCGCATGAATGAAAGTTTTAATAACAGAGATAAACGTATAAGTACTTCAGAGTTCAGATCTGAGCGGCTTTCGATATCAATAGAAGAATATAATTGAACCCTCCGTCAATCTGAAGTCTTCTCGAGATGGGTAGAGTAAGAAACCTTTGTGTAGTAACGGATTTAGCTGGCAAATGCCACTATGACTATGACTATCATGGATACTGGCCTAAAATCTTTCTATTACTTAGAAAATGTTTACAGTTCCAGAGCTTTCAAAGATGCAATACCGCATTCGTCCGTATCTTGCGTAATAAATGTGAACAAAGAATAATACGGATTCCATTTCCAAAATTTTGTACATCAATGAGTAAGTACAGACTATGGACAAACTACTCAAATCTATCAATTTTCTTAAATAGGTATAATATCGACTTTATACCAAAACAATAAAGTTGAATATCAATAAAGTTTGACAGTAAGGAGTAGGTTCACCTACTGTATTTCCAAGCAAGGTATAGATACCATGGAAAAACCGTCGACATAATTTACAAAATGTTATTATACTCCCACTATGCCAAGGTCACGTTATCTTTGTACTAGCCAGCGTCAAATTAGTGTCATTTGAACGGAAATTGGTCAAGTAGAATGATAAGGAATACTTATTGAATCTATTGTGCTATCTATGATTCATACTATATTCCCTTAAATAGGTAAATTGTGGCATTAAGTGTGCTCACTACTGCTTCTTTATTGGGGAATACCAAATAAATGTGTGCCATCGTTTTGTTAATATGTAATTAATTACAATTGCGACTCAACAAAATGTTGACGAAATTATTATATGACATATCTATACATATACTAAAATTGTAGAAAAGTAAAAGTTGTACATACATTAAATTTGTTTAAATAATAAGTAGAATAGAATAGAATATAACTTTATTGTACACCATTAATAATACAGTACATACAGAAAGGGAAATGACAAATATAAGTATTTATTTTAAATACTACTTATCATTTAAAAGAATTAAATATATATATGTCGGAGATCCGTTGGTGACCATGCCTACGACAATTGCTGCCCAGCTCCTTAAACTGTCAAACACCAAGCGGTCACCGGTGACCGCAACCTATTGTTCTATAATTGTGTCTACAAAACCGGTACTCGATGAGTTAATCATAATTCATAAGTCATAACGATAGATTGCATAAATTTATTTATATAGATTTTTCTGTGTCACATAAATTAAACCATTATATCTATTACACCTACTGATGCACATCTCTGCATCACCCCATGGTTGACCGTTAGAGAATGCCACCTGGCATTAAGTCCGCCATCGTATGTTTATTATACAGAAGTGTTAAATAAATAAATAAATAAATAAAATAGAATAGTTTTAATCATTGAAACTTCACGACGCGAGCTCTGTACGGGTTAAACCCTGTAGGATTGTTTATTTTTTTAAATCATGAAAATAAATATAACCTAAGTACTGAATCAAGTCTGACGACATTGTTTTGTTACCGTAGAATGTCCCTTGGTAAATTCTAATTTAAAAGCCTTAATTCTGCTGAAGTCATTCTACGCGGAGTCGCGGACGAAGTAGCGGGCAACAGCTATAATTAATATTGTGACTGCCCTGTTGGCGCGGTAGCCAGGCAACCGGCTGGCGTGCAAAGTGTATAGTTGGGTTCGATTCCCGCACCGGAGAAACTCTTTGTGTGATTCACGAATTTTTGTTTCGTTTTGCCAAGTGTGTGTGAAATTGTATGTTTGTAACCACCCACGTCACAGGAGAAAATACTAGAGTGGGGTAACTTTTTTTTAAAACTAAGTCAAGATATTAGTGTTATCTATATATATATAATTCAAAGGTGATTGACTGACTGACTGACTGACTGACTGACTGACTGACATAGTGATCTATCAACGCACAGCCCAAACCGCTGGACAGATTGGGCTAAAATTTGGCATACAGATAGATGTTATGACGTAGGCATTCGCTAAGAAAGGATTTTGATAATTTCCACCCCCAAGGGGGTAAAAAAGGGGATGAAAGTTTGTATGAAACTTTGTCAGTTTTTAACTGATCGGGTTGAAATTTGGCATGCAGATAGATGTTATGACGTAAGCATCCGCTGTGAAAGGATTTTGATAATTTCCACCCCCAAGGGGGTAAAATAGGGGATGAAAGTTTGTATGAGACTTTGTCAGTTTTAAACCGATCAGGTTGAAATTTGGCATGCAGATAGATGTTATAACGTAAGCATCTTCTAAGAAAGAATTTTGATCATTTTCACTCCTAAGAGGGTAAAATAGGGGGTGAAAGTTCGTATGGAACTTTGTCAATTATAAAACGATCTGGTTGAAATTCGGCGTGCCGATAGATATTTTGACGTAAACATCCTCTAAGAAAGGATTTTGATCATTTCCACCCCCCAAGGGGGTAAAATAGGGGTGAAAGTTTGTATGAAACTTTGTCAGTTTTACACCGATGGGGATGAAATTCGGCATGAAAGTAGATGTTATGACGTAGGCATCTCCAAGTAAGGATTTTGATCATTTCCACCTCCAATGGGATAATGTAGGGGATGAAAGTTTGTATGAGGCTTTGTCAGTTTTACACAGATCGGGTTGAAATTCGGCGTGCAGGTAGATATTATGACGTACACGTCCCTTTAGAAAGGTTTTTGAACATTTCCACCCCAAAGTGGGTAATATAGAGGGTGAAAGTTTGTGTGATACTTTGCCAGTTTTAAACCGATCGGGCTGAGACTTTGCATGCATAAAGTTACTATGACATAGGTATCTCCTTAGAAAGGATTTTGATAAATTCCACCCCTAAGGGGATAAAATAGGGAATGATAGTTGGTGTGAAATTGGGAATGAAAATTGAATCTAGAATCATTGAATCTTTTTGAATTACATTCGGTAAAACGATGATTTGGGACCTGATCACAGAAGTCCCTCGAGAACGGGAACTATGCGTCAATGCTCCAGGATTAGGTCTCCTATCTTTTAACCACTGAACTTATTTCATAGAGATTCTGTACAATAATAATCGAAGTTTTTATTACTCAAAACTTACGTGATCGAGCCGGGACTGGTAAGAACCCTGTGGGATTTTTAATTTATTGAAATTACGATAAATCATTTCACAATAGGTAAATCTTAATTGGGCACTGAATTGATTCTGATGAATTCTGTCAGAAGTCATTAATCTACGCGGACGAAGTCGCGGGCAACAGCTAGTATTAATATAAATCGAATAACATACCTCATTCAAACATAGGTCCAAAAGACACACTTAGTTTTATTTAAACTTTAAAGCAATAAAAACTTTTAGCTTATTGTGTTGATCAGATGAATGTTGCAATGGTACTGATCAATAAAAACTTATTAAACATAATATAATATAAAACATTATTAATTATGTTGTAACACTTAAGTTAAAGAAACTGAAGAGGATGAGAAATAAATTGCAAATGTTATGTCAACACAAAAATTGCATGTGCTGATAGATAAACATCAACTTTAAAAAGTTAATATTATGAAATAACTACCCTCACATAAGACCATAAGGCTTATTTTTGTGTGCATTTGAATAGATAACAGAATTTTACCTATACAACCTTAGTCACTTTAGGAATACATTAATAAATAAAAGGCAGTTTTGTACAAGAGCGACAGAAAGGGACTTTTTAATAATTTAAAATGATTATAATTTACCGATATCAATCTATACCTATGTGTATTAAATCCAAAAAGGTAGGAAATATGAATTAGTAGGAATGTTAACAATAATGAATGCAAAAATTAGTTATTAAAAATATTGAATTAATATAAATATGACATTGGGTATACATAGTTACATACTGAGAGCAGCGCCTAGAGACACAGGTGACAGAACTAAGTGCATTAGTTAACGTGTTTATATTTCTGATTGGTTGTTTCATTGGTGCGGGATAATCTAAACGTCATAAGCGTAAACGTCATCAATCACGTACTAAGCCCTCAACCGCTCGACACCGGCAGTATAGTCGAACAGACCGTGTTGGAGACTCGTTTGCCAAAGGAAAAAATAACACAAACTACCGTTTAGTTATCTCGAAAAATAATAATATACATACCTATATAATAAAGGAAATGAATTTTTAGGTAAAATAAAAAAAAATGTCCCCAAAAATTGGCTCGCAGTCTTAGCATTATTTTGGGTACATATGTCTGTCATTAGGAAACAATACATTTTAACTAATTTTGCTCTAATTATGTTATGTTATGTCTTTGTCTAATTAGTTCTGGTTTTTTGTTCACTAATGATGGCTGTTTTAATTTATATTGTTATCTTTTAAGAATGATGAATGTTGCTTAATAGGATGTGCTTAAAATGTATTGTGGGAAAATACACTTCTTACAATCCTTCAATACTTGTTTTCTTTATTAGTTTGAAAACAAGTTTGCGTGATAAAATTAATATATCAGCCTGGTATTACTTCTGCATCAAATATATTCTCAAAAAATTTCAGTGAAAAATATTTGTGACAAATTAGATGATATATGAGATAATTATTTCATAAACTAAGTTTGTGAACTGACTTCAACCTCCTCTTTTTTTAAGTCGGTCAAATAAAATACTAAAACTTTCTCTGAAATGCATCAAAATCGGTTCAGCCAATCGCGAGATAATCGCGGACAAACCGACAAACATACACACATACTGGTAAAGGTCAAGCTGAGCTCCTTTTTTAAAGTTGGTTAAAAAATAGGATACATTTCTATATTTCTGACATAAGTAATAAAACATTTCGTACGCACTGGAAATCCAGTCTATTTTTACTCATTAGAACATCACTTGTATCTTTAAAACACATCTTGTTTGACCTATGTCTAGAGGTAAGGTTATTATGATTGAGCAAAGATAAAAATAGATTTAAACCAACTGGCTAACAGTAACAGAGACAATACACAACTACATGTCTATAATTAATTGTGTTGAGGGAGGGAAGGATCTCTTGATACGAGAAAGCATATATTACACTTTACACACATATGAAAAACCTTTAATATTGCAGATTAGTTGGGAATAGGAAGTAGTTTCTTCTTAGTATAGTGACTGATTTATAAGACACTAATGTTGGTGAAAGCTCAACCTTTTTTTTAAGGGGCTAAAATCATCCATTAACTTCTCACACCCGGCTGAGCCGAGGGGAAGTGTCAGACTAATGACAAAAAAAATCACCCCATTCAGACTCCTGCTCTTTGAGCCGGAGTCCCAGCATCCAATTACGTCCCCCTAAAGCCGAAACTTGCTATGTAGATTGGAAATGTATGAATTTTATAGGAATAGTAACATCAGTATTTATATGTGGCAATAACTAGCCGACAAACCGGGGTTTTATTCCTTATAATTATTATAACACTAAAATTTTGTTACGTGACTAACTTTTCTAACAAAAAATTCTTCTAAAAAGAACATTTTTATAAAGCACAAGTTTATTGCGCAATACAATATAGTATGACAACGATTTGGGCTTTGAAGAATTAGGTAAAAACCAAATGATAATGAATACAATGATGAAATAGATATGATTAGCTTTTCCAATTTGTTTCACAATGTCCCCTTAAGTTTTCGTTACTTAGTTTAAATGACACAGATTTTCATATAAACGGCAGCTTAAACTGTCAAACACCAAGCGGTCACCGGTGACTGCAACCTATTGTTCTATAATTGTGTCTACAAAACTGGTACTCGACGAGTTAATCAGACATAATGTTTTACTATATTGGGGCTCATTCTTGATAGAATACTACACATTCCATAACAAAACTGCATTGGTTTTTTATTTTGTATTAATATCAAAAATGTACTCTATGAAATACCTTCATAGAATCTTGTATGACTTACGCTAAGTCTTGTTTCTTTGTGATACATCTGCTCAGAATTTTTAACAAAATCATAATATATCTTTAGATATAAAACACTTCAGAAGGTCAGCCATTAATATCCCTTTTTCAATGAATAATATAAATGCAATGTTTACTACTTTTTTATGCAAAAGTACTAAACAGATTTAAATGTGAATGGGTGTAGGGATACACTACAGTATGTATGCATGTGGAGCTGAAGACAAAATCTATGACAAAGTAACTTCATAAAAATACATAGGAAATTTTTAGTCTTTGTTAAAACTAGAGACAACAATAATTGATAATATAGTATGCAATGACTTTGTGATGCAACATATTTGCAACAATCAGTTACTAATGTGGTCAATCAACTGCAATTACAAGTATGGATTTCTAGTCACAGAAGTACTTAATGAAGAAATAAAAATCAGAATATTTATAACCCTATCTAATTAGTTTTCAATCGATTTTATATTATAATGCCACATAATTATTTAATTCACTAAAAGAGTCTACTATGTTTTTGAATACGAGCTTATAAAGCTGCACTCATGTGATGTTTCGGAAAAAACATTTGTCAAAATGCTAGCTTAGAAGTTTCAATTTAGGTACTTGTTTACTAACATTACAATAATCGATATCAATTAAACGCGTTATAAATACAGTCATTATTAAACCGTTTAATATTTTGTAGCTCACATAAACACACGAATAAAAAATTATGTTCCCGAACTCCTTGGAAATTATTTGTAAAATCACAAAAAATAACCGTTTAAAAGCTCATATTAAAAGTTTGTACTTACTCCCTTAGTCGCAAACTAATCCACATTTCAACGCAGATTTAATAATTCATTTATTATTTTATAGTATAAAAATCACAGCACAGTTCAAATTTGTTCAGCACTACGTTCAAAACAAAGCAAACAAAGTGAATGCAACACAACTGCAATGGCTCACGATCTACACTTGTCAAACCCAAAATGTATTTTGAAATACAGGTTTCGACATAAAAATATTTCATATTTTAAGCATATCAATAAATAAGTTTACTACTCAATCTGTGGTACAGACAAAGATAGCATATAATAGCAATGCTACAAATATGGACAAGCGAAGCACCTGCCACCGACATTTGTCAAACTCTAGGCATGCATAGTGCATTTTCTAGACTGGATTGCCAATTATAAATATTTGTTAGTGATAAGTTTTTTTAGTTTGCAAAGAAATATTTTATTTCGAATAAGAAATTTGAATTAAGTATAGTTATTTTTATACTACAAAATATCAAGTTACTTAATATTTTGTTAAGAAAATAATATACTTTATGTAATAAAATTTAAAGAAAGGTTGGTAACACCAGAAGTAGACTGCGAGCGCAAGTTGCCAAAAGATTTAAAAGTGCTACATACCTATTTTCTTAAAATGTGATAGTTACTTGTTTATTTCCCTTTTTTATGTTTGGTGCTATGATGGTACATTTATCAAAGATCACTAGGTGCGCCATCTACCAGATTTGTATATAACTACGACCGCCCGTGTTACAGGTAGCTTGAGCTTCACATTCACACAATGGTAAGTTGTAGCAACATTTTTTTTATTATTTAGTTTCTCACTTTACTTGTTGATGTCGTTGTTATTAAAAGTTAGCCAATTGTATTTTTAGTGAAATAGTTATACTTGAAATACGAATATATAATTAGAATTAAATCATTTTTAGGGCTTTTTACGACTTGCCTTGGCTAGACAATCAACTGCCCGACTGCCAAACACAGGATCTCGGACTCGATTCACGGGGAATAAAGTGTTATTAAGTTTTCGAAAATGGTTATTATGTCCGGTGTATTATTGTAGCACATTTTCTAAACCAGAAGGTTAAATTTTAAATAAATAGAGAAATAATTAGCATTTTTGTGACTTATTCACCTAACCTAAACAAACAAATTAAAATAGGTGAGTAATAAAACTACACACAGGGCACCAACCACATAAATAATCATATTATAACACCGAACTTATTTGCGAAAGTGATACAAATAAAATTCTTACAATATTTCGTGCACCCAGGTAGGTAGAGCAGATGTACGATACGACAAAGGCTTTTAGCAATGTCTGTAAACAAACCATTCTTTTGAGGTCGGATCAAGGCCGCCCATGAATGGCGTTGTGGCGGGCCTAACTTTTAATAAGATTTATTGTAACCGATCTTGTTTTGACAATCACAATAGTGTGATTCGTGGCGGTAAACGGACATCTTTGTGTGGTCTCAAGGTCTTTGTAAGAGGCTTTAGTGAAGTCAAAACTTTTACACCTGGTTAGTAAAAAAAGTGAAATTATTATGTAACGATTTCTCGATGTTTTGCATGTGATGTGGGGTATGGTATGGTAGTCTTTAGACAACGGTGCATTTATGAAGACTGATCAAGTAATAAAATATTTTGTTTGTGTATGAAATAGACTCGATGCAGTTGCAAGCTTTTCGGTCTTTTATTTAATCGCAAGAGAATTGCACAACTTTGTTCCATCGTCGTTAACACGTGGTAGAGAGCCAAAGTCAACGATCAAATCAAAAAAAATCCGGTATTTATCACTGTCAATTCCTGTCAATTTTTAATGGTAAAACATTTAGCACGGCAAACTAAAATAATCCTAGCAATCACTAGTCCAACGTATTTATCTTAGGAGCCTCATTTTGGACGACTTTACAACTTACGAGTTGCTGGAACAAGTCACTGATGGCCATAACAACGATAGCGTTCAAACTCAGCTGAGTTATGGTAATGGGTCCGATATACCTTCACAGGTTCCTTCGCTCCCAGGTCGGACCCGATCCAAAACGTAGGTAGGTACTCTTTAATCTTAACGACACATAGGTGACATAAAGATGTCTACGTCACTAAAAGGCAATTGTTGTTAAATTTAATGGGATATAAAATAAAATAGTCTGACTCACGATAACTATTGATGGATACACTTATTTGGTGTTAGATCTTGTTTGTGTTGCAGAGATTAATGGCGTTAAAGTTTTACAATGTGATACCTATAACTTACTTAAAAATTCTATAATGAAATTTCACAATATCAATGTCGATCGATCGGAACTGGATTCAAATTAAGCCCCGTGGTCCTGGAGCTGGTACAGGAAATTAATAACCGATCTTACCACGCACGCTGCTTATGAGGAAGAGCCCCTCTGTGGTTCGAAACTAGTAGAGCTTTTCTGAGTATTTTCACGTGTTATTCGCGATTTGTACCTATGTGTCAAAAAAAAATTTCACTTGATTTTAATGTGAAATTGATTAAATAGGATTTAGTTCAGACATAATAAAGATTCAAATACCGAAGGCTTTACGAATTCACAGTAGAATAAAAAAAAGTAGCATTCCTTATTATCCACAGAGAAAATTATACATGTAAGTATTCTTATATGTAAAGCTGGACAGATCCATAATTCTAGGCCATGAATGTCATAATATCATTGTCGTCCTGCACTAACAATCTCAACACGTATAAATTAAACATATGTTATATGTTAATGAGCCAATTAAAGTTAATTTCAAGAATGAGAGGTAATTACAGGAATCATCTAATTATGTTTGAATTTATAGTTGACAGTATAATTTCCGCTATTCATCGTTTTTGTTGCAATACGTAGGTCGTTAAACTTTGGTAGATGTTTATGAAAATTTTGAGTGGTAGGTAATAATAATAAGTTAGTGTCTTTTCACACGTTTCGGTTGCCTGTATCGGGTACCTGGCGGCGCAGTGTATAGACATGTAACTACTTAAGTATTGTAACTTTAACAGTGCCGAATTTGTTTACTCTGCGCTGCCGGGTGCCCGGCGCTGGCTACCCGGCTACCGGAACGTGAGAAAAAGCACTTAGTTTAGTAGATGACTCTCGGAACTTCGGAAGGAATACAGGAATACGTCATATTTGTAATCATCAGAACATCCTCGAAAGAGTTCGAATACCTAGCTAATATTGTGTTAAAATTTGAAAATAAATAAAAATGAATTCCTAGTATTTTAATGAGAGGACAATAAAAAGGAATTTCTCATTGAAATTGAAGCTCTGAAGGAAAGCGAAAATCTATTGCAAAATATGAAATCGTGATGTTTTACTAAGTAAGTATTTGCTAATCCCAATCCTTAACTATTGATTTATTTCTCAACACTATTAACCTTATGTGGGTTGTAGGAAGAGATATAATAACATTAGAAATCTGGATCGTGCACACATATATTAAAGTTCCACTCCACCTACATACTATTGAACCTTTTTCGATAGGGATAACACCATTAGATAGGTAAGTACCAACATGCTTTTCCAACATCTAAAAGAAATTACATTAAACTAATGGACATAAAAATAGTCGATTTCGGAGCAAATGTAACTATCGTATTGAACTTTGGTGTTTGTGAATGCTTACACCGAACTGGGTTCTTTTGCGAACAATCTTTTACGTTACAATAGAATGCTATAAACATCTCCTAGTATAGGATCATGTGTGGTTATCGACTTAAGAAACCATAATAAAAAGAAATAAGAATAACAAACTAAAGAGTTGCAGTTAACGAAAATAAGTTGGTAAGTAAGTAGCTTACCGTATCTAAGTACGTATAATTAGTTAGGTACCTAGGTAAATAGACATAACTTAGTTAAGTATGTAATTAGATTCTTAAATCGACATTATTACCATACTAGATATTTATTTGTTCTCGAACAATAACAATAGTTTAAAACCTATGTCATTATGAAACAATTAGTAAAAGACTCCAAAACTTCAATTTGAGGCGTAATCACTCTTCTCAGTCATCACGATAAGGCATCGTTTGTTCGGGAATTCGACATTAGCCTTACAAGGCAAGTTGTACAAAACTCGGACCAGTAAATTGGCTTCATAAATATTGCTAATACAACAACATGTCGGTGTGACAACAATGGTAACGTTGAAGTAAACATCACAGTTCGATAGTCCGCGCACGTCCGTGATTGGTCATTTCAGTATATCTCTGTTAGACGCAAAGCGAATCTCGAATGAATTACGAGAATTGTTTACAACGATACACGCCGATTTGGTCAAGCTTCTCGATAAAAAGTTGAAGAATTAAGAGTGCGCCTGTTGTTATTTAAATAGCAAATTCTCAGATCAGCTCTTTCAACGCCGCTATTAAAATGCGCGTAGCATGGCAAAACGGTCCGTGATTATGCAGTTTTTAGTACATGCTATCCTGCATTTAACTTTATTATGCGGATGTTAACATTCGTGAAATGATAAAGCGTTTAACACACGAGTTTAATAAACTAAACAAAGTAATATAGAATTTAAACTGTAATTTGCAAAGAAAGTTTCCAATAAACATACAATCAAAACGTTGAATACGTTGGTGGGTGTTCCTAACGTTATTTATGACGTAGGATGGTTTTATTTCATTGCCGTAATTTATCATTTCGTATTGATGTCATTGTATACCCGCCATTAACTGGGCTTAAACGATTTAATTTTCGACTTTCCCTCAAAACATTGATGGCACCTAATCACGGCCCACGGACAAGATAATCCTAAAATTTATTGGCCATAACAACAGACTGTCGTCAATCGAATTGATATTGTGGTCATACAGAATTATAAACAGTTTGGTGCTAATGAAATTACATTGAATTGCTATAAATTAGAAGGCGACAATGTTTGAGGCTGGGGTGACCACAATGATGGTCATTTACAATACGCCGTATTTGGGTTAAATAGTGGTCACAAAATAAGACCACCCTAAATGTTTGGGTGCGTTGTGTTGTGTATCACAAGCCACAATGGTGTTGGGAGCAAGATGTTTGGACTATAAGAAACGAATGACGTAATTTATTGGGGCAGTTGGCCAACGACTAAGTTGACGTTAAGGTCATGGAATGTATGGAATTGTTAACCAATGAATATTTATAAATAACGAAACTAAGTTAAACTCATTTTGTTGTGATATTACGTTTACCTGCCTCCGAGATGGTAAAAAAGTGATACCGAGGATGCTCTTTCATAGTGCCGAAAAATATGTAACACCGAATACAAATAACAGGCATCTAGAGGGGGTATAA